TGGGATACAGCAGGGAATGGGCACTGCCTGGTTTAGGATACAGCAGGGAATGGGCACTGCAGGGAATGGGAAATACAGGGAATGGGCAGTGCAGGGAATGGGCTCTGCAAGGTTTGGGATACAGCAAGGAATGGAAAACTGCAGGGAATGGGGAACTCCAGGGAATTGGCACTGCAGGGAATGGGCAGTGCAGGGAATGTGCTGTGGGAGGATTGGGTGCCCTGAGGTCAGGTCGCAAGAAGGTTGGGTGCCCAGGAGGGCTGGGTGCCCACAGAGCCTGCTGCCCACGGCAGGGTATGCCCAGGGCATGGGTGTCCAGGGGATGGGGTGCCTAGGGAATGGGGTGTCCAAGGGAGGGGATGTCCAGGGCATGGTGTGCCCAGGGAATGGGGTATCCAAGTGTGGTGTGCCCAGGGAATGAGGTATCCAAGTATGGTGTGCCCAGGGAATGGAGTGCCCAGGGGATGGGCATTCAGGGGATGAATGCTCAGGGGATGAACGCTTAGGGGATAGTGCCCAGGGCATGAGTGTCCAAGGGATGGGGAGCCTAGAGAATGGGGTATCCAAGGGATGGAGTGCCCGGGTCATGGTGTGCCCAGTGGGAAGGGGAGTCCAGGGGATGAGTGCCCAGGGGATGGCGGCATGGTGTGCCCAGGAGATGGGTGCCCAAGGCATGGTGTGCCCAGGAGATGAGTGCCCAAGGCATGGTGTGCCCAGGGGCTGGGTGCCCAAGGCATGGTGTGCCCAGGAGATGGGTGCCCAAGGCATGGTGTGCCCAGGGGCTGGGTGCCCAAGGCATGGTGTGCCCAGGAGATGGGTGCCCAAGGCATGGTGTGCCCAGGGGCTGGGCGCCCGGAGGATGGTGCTGTCCCCACTCACCGCCATGCTGTGTGACAGCTGCTCGGCCGTCAGGCTCAGGGTGTAGTGCTGGGCCTCCAGCCGCCGGCACTGCGTCTGCAGCACCTGGCGCTCCAGGTTTTGTTCTGCAACATCCGAAGGACAAGGGCTGAGCGCCGGCTCCTCGGGCTCTTTGCACCACCCATGGAGGGTGCCAGCCCTGCTCTAGGCTCTGCCCAGCCAGCAGGGATTGCCCCCAGCATCCCAGAGCATTCCCAACCCCGGCACCGCCTGTGGGGAACCTTTAGGGAGGACACTGGGCACTTTGAATACACTGATTTTCCATGCATACGTAAATTTTTGCCAAAACAACAACAGTGCCTGTTGATTTCAAGCTGCTCCTGCACTGCTGGAGACCCCCCAGTGCTTCCCCAGCCCATCCCAGCAGGAACCACTGACACCCCCCACAGAATATTAACGCACAAATTGGCATTTTACCCTCCCTGCACCCCTTCCTTACCTTCTATATGTTCCTGGTAAGCTTCAAAAATTGCCTCGATCCCTTGCCACTTGGGCCTGGGGTAGTCTTCCTCCTCTTCCTCCTCTTCCTCCTCCTCGTCCTCGTCCTCGGAGGCGGAGTCCCGGGGCAGGGGGGGCAGTGGCCGGAGCGGCCCCTCGGCCGTGCCGTTGTGCGGGGGCGCGGGCGGGTGGGCGGACGCCTGCAGCTCGGGGATGTTGTAGTGGATGGACGTGTCCAGTTTGTGGTTCTGCTCCGCCGTCCCCCCTGTGGGGCAGCCACAGTCAGCCCCTGCCCGCTCCCCACGGCCCCTCAAGGCATTCATCCCACCCATCCCAGACCTTTCGGGGGGATTACGGGTGGGGTTTTATCGTTCCCTGTGCGCTGGAGTGGTTTTATGTATTTCAATCGCTCAACTGAGTGAGTTTGGAGGCTTTGGAGCTGTATTATCCCTCATTTTTAGCTTCAGCAATGAGCTCACTGCATGTTCCAGCATTGAGGATGCCAGTGCCAAACCCTGGTGGGGGGGACATGGGAGTGATATCCCAGTACCCAAGCAGCTTCCTGCGTCCCTGCTTCTTTTTCTGAACATCAGGGAGAATTTTTTGATTGGCAGGGTTGTTGAACACTGGAAGGAGCTGCCCTGAGAGGTGGTGGAGTTCCCATCCCTGGAGGGGTTCAAGGAGGGCTTGGTGTGGCACTCAGTTCAGAATCTTACTCTCCTGGATTCTTAAGTACTTTAGATTTGTAAGTTAGGCCTGTACGGAAGTTATTGTTTTGTGGTATAGTATATTCTATATGATCCCTTGCTAAATTAAGTTGTCAATTAAGTTTAAATGCTGTTAAGTGCTGTTGGGCCTTTAAATATAACCTGTTGACCAAGTCCAGGCTCAGTTTAGCACAGAAATCTACTCTGAACTTGTGCCTCAACACGAGGGTCTTCCATATTCCTTTTTGTCCTTACCCTTTCCTATCCCTTTGTTTCCCCCTCCTCCAGCCTCCACAGAGATTATTTGGGGTTTATTTACTGACTTTGCATTTTTCTTTCCTTTCCCTCAGAGTGCTTTAACCACCTAATGAACAGGACAGAGCACCTTGCCAACCAACTTTGTTGTGATTTTTACACCAAACCCGCTTTTGCCGATACTTTTAAAACAGCAGTTCCCGACAACCTCCCCTCACCTTTGTGCTTCTGCAGCGCCTTCTGCGTGGACTGCAGCACCGACTCGTGGAACTGGTGGGCAAACTCCTCGGCAATGAAGGGCTCCCAGGGCTTGCTCTTGCCGTTCATGCTGTGGGACAGCGGCACCGGGATGTCCTTGGGGAGGGGACCCCTGACGTAGCTGAGGATGCTCAGAGCCTTCTTCCCGGGGTGCCCGTCGCTCAGCCGGGGCTTCTCCGGCGCCGTGCCCGACTCCTTGGGCCTCGGTGGCTCCTGGGGCCTCAGCTGGTCCAACCTGGAGGCTTCGGCCACCTTCGGCACCTCCGGCACGGAGACGGCGATGCCCACGGGTTTATCCAGCTCCAGCAGGAGCGGTGGCACCGGAGGCTCTTTGGGAAGAGGAGGAGCAGTTGGCTGCAGCCAGGACTCCGTGCAGCCCTCCAGGCAAAGCTGTGCCCCTCAACCCAAGAGCCGGGGGAGGACTTGTGGCGCTTACCAGTGCTGGGGGCACCGGGGCTGTCCCGCGGGGAGCTCTTCACCACCACGGCGGCCGGCGTGGTCTTCTGCTTCATGGCCTGCAGCATCTCCACCAGCTTCTCCTTGTCTGCGGCATGGGAAGCTGAGGTTTAGTGTAGCCTCTGCTCAGCAGAGCAAGCTCAGGGCCCCAGGCAGACCCCCCGCGCCACCCCCGAGCCCCAGCGTGCGCGGGCCATGGCTGTTACCTTTCCTCTTCTCGGCGCTGATGTGTGTGAGGTTGAAGATGGTGAGGAAGCGCTTCTTCTCCTCGAAGTTGGGGCTGTTGTTCATCTCGTCGGGGCTGTAGCGGGTGGAGAGCGGCGGGCGCGGGGAGGGCGTGCGGCGCTTGTTCTGCACCGTGGGTGGAGAGGGGCTCCGCTCCCGCAGCATCCGCCGGCGCTTGCGCCGCTTCTGGCTCAGCAGTTCCTCCTTCTGCTGCTGCGTGGTGAGGCCGAAGAGCTGCAGGAACTCCAGCTTCTGGGGCGACCAGGGGGAGCAGAGCAGAGCAGGGTCATCCCTCATCCTCGCCTTCATCCCTATTCTCATCCTCATGGCCGCTGTCATCCTCATCCTCATTCCTATTCCCATCCTCATGCCCACCCTCATCCCTGTTAGAATCCTCATCTCCATTCCCATTCCCTTCCCCATTCTCATACCCATTCCCCTTCCCACCCCATTCTCCTCATCCTCATTTTCATTCCTGCTCCTATCCCCATCCTCATCTTCATCCCACCCCCATTCCCATTCCAATGCCCATCCTTACTGCCATCCCCATTTCCCCATCTCCATCCCCACCCTCATCATCCCCATCTCTAACCCCCTGGTGCCTCTGCACACATGTGGGGATGGTGGCTGCACTGGGCACTGGGAACTGGTGTAAAGGAGGGGCTGCTCCCCCAGGGGACAGGGAGGGGACAGGGAGGGGACAGGGGGTGCCACCAGTACCTCGGAGGATGTGTCCAGCTTCAGCGGGGGCTGCTCAGCCACGCAGCGGAGATGGGCCCGCACCTCCTCCTCGTCGCTGTCGTCACAGGAGTCATCCAGGTCGTAGTAGTACCCTGAGGATGGGGAGAGGCTGGTGAGAGGCTGGGAACACCTTGGGCACCTGCTGGGACCCCGGGGAATCTTCTGGGACACAGGGGAACCCCACTGGGGATGGGAGCCCAGCAGGAAGTATGTCAGAGGGGAGTGATGTGGGGAGTGTGACCCAAAGGAGCCCTGTCCCCTCTCCACCAGCTATGGGACCTCGGAGGGCATCACCCATCACTCTGGGATGAGTGGCAGGGGGCCAGTGTGGCACAGGCTGGGGACACCGTGATGGAGCCCCCATCTCACTGGAGTGGGGACAGCAATTCCAGCCCCTCCCAGCTCTCCATCTCCTCCTCATTGCTACTCTCATCCCCTCTCCAGCAGCCCCATCAATATTTAAAACCCTCTTATTAGCTCCAGTTCATCATTTATTCATCGGGCACGTCTGGAGCGCAGGGTTTACCAAACCCGCTGGGACGCGGGAACGTCGGCATTCCCGGGAGACCCCCGGTGCCGGGGGGGAAGGAAATCCCCTCACCTTTCTCACGGGCCTCCCGCCGCCGCCGCTCCTCCAGGTCCAGTTTGCTGACCAGCCTGCGGTGCTGCTGCACGAACTCGTCGTAGATGTACATGGGGTCCTGGGCGCGGGGCTGGGGGGGCCGGTAGGGCGAGCTGGGCTTGGAGCTCTCGGGGAAGGCGGCGGCCGGGGCTCGCTGCTGGCTCAGGATGCTCTGAGTGGACTTTTCCAGCTCAGCTAGGAAGGGGGTGTGGGTGAAGGCCCCGTGCTCCGGGGCGCCGGGCTCCCGTCCCGGGGGGTATTTCTCCAGAGCATCCCTCTTCCTCGGGCCCTCCTCCAGCTTCTCCGGGCAGAAAACCCTCTCCACCTTCACCACAGGGAAGCTCTGGCGGCCGGGCTCGAAGGGCGCTGGGTGGCTGTGGAGGGCGTGGGGCTCGGGGAGGCGCCGGGGAGGGTCGGGGGGGCTCTCCATCAGCGAGACGGGGTTCCAGAGGGACGTGGTGACGGGGTGGTGCTGGGGTTTGGGGGAGATGAGGGGTGGGGGCCCGCCAAAGTGCTGCCCTGGCTCCCGGCTGCTGGGCTCGTGGCGGCTCGATCCCAACCTGCGGGGAGAGGAGAGCACCGCAGAGGTGAGGAGCTGGCGCTGCCACCGGGGAGCTGGCAGCGCTCCAGCCCCGGAGGATTTTGGGGAGAAACCCAGAGGGGTTTGTGCACGTGGGGCTGCCACACTTGTCCCCTTCATGCCACAAACCTGAGGGATGGGGGCAGAGTTAAGGCTGTGCACGGGCAGGTTGAGCATGGATGTGGCTGATGGTGCACTGGGCTGGAGCCCCCAGCCTTGACCCCTGGGTGGGGACAAGCGAGCCACCAGTCCTGCCACAGCCCCGTGGCGAGGGCAGCACCCCGGCGCAGCCCTGCTCTGACAGCAGGAGCCGGAGCCAGCCTGTTTGCAGGATAAATATTTCATGTGCCCAAGCTGTGCATTTAACACTTTTCCGCTCCAGCGCCCCGGAGCTCCGCGCACGGAGCAGCGAGTTCAGCTCAGCGCCGCCACGGCGTCACCACCGGCGGGGAGCACCGCCTGCTCTCGGGATCCATCCCTCTCCCACCCCGCTGGATGCAGGAAAAGGACTGGGATGGAATATCCCCGGCTGCAGGTGTCTGGGGGTGACCTTGCTGTCTCCTCTCCGCTTTGGGGTGGGAGGAGCGGATGGGGAAGGGAGCCTGCGGCGGGCGCTCGCCTTTGTGCCGCCCCGTGATCCGCTCCTTATTATCCTCGATGAGCCGCGCTAATCCCCTGGATACCCAAAAATAACAAAGGGAGCAGGCGGCAGAGCTGGCTGGATGAGCCTGCACTGCTTAAGCGCTCAGCCACGGGGGGTGAGCAAGGCTTGTCAATCAATCCGGGGGTGTGGGCACGCTCCGCTGCCCCCCAAACTGCCCAGGCTCGGCGCAGGTGCCCCCCAAACGAGGCATCCACAGCCCAGCCCCGCTGCCCGGGAGGGGGGAGCTGCAATTAGCCGTGCTGGTGGCCGGGCAGCACCTGGCCACTCGCCGCTGGCCCCCGGCCACCTCCCGGGCTCGGCGCCTGCCGCCGCGCAGATGTCGGGCACCGGGAACGCCTGGCGCTGCCAGCACAGCCGGCCTGGCTGGCACCGTGTGGCAGGAACCTGCTGGCACCGTGGCTTCGGCTCATGGGATGTGTAAGGGGCACGGCCGAGGGGTGGTGGACGCGTGACGGGGGGCAGAGCTGGGTAATGGGATGGGCACGGCCACAGGTTGGGGAGGAAATCCTTTAAATGATCACCTCATGGCATCAGTAAAGATCATCCTATTCCACCCCCTGCCATGGACAGGGACACCTTCCACAAGACCAGATTGCTCCAAGCCCCATCCAACCTGGCTTTGGGCACTTCCAGAGATCCAGGGGCAGCCACGGCTTCTCTGGACAACCTGTGCCAGGGCCTCCACACCATCACAGCGAAGAATGTCTTCCCAATATCCCATACAACCTTGCCCTCTTTGTATAGGGCCTTTCCCCTTTTCTTTTCCTTCTTTTCCTTTTTCCCCGGCCTTTTTCCGGTTGAGGTTGCGGATATTCCAGCAAGGACAGCAGTGACACGGGAAAACACAGCTCAGTTTTGGGGGAAAGCTCCATCCCTGGAGCGGCACTGGCAGCATCCCTACCTGGGGTGCTCGGGCCGGTGCTCGGGCTCAGCCTGGCTCGGGGCACGCCCTATGTCCAGGTGCTGCTCCAGCACTTGCTGCCGGAACTCCGAGACTTGGGATTGCCGATCCTCCTTCTCCTGGCGCAGCCGGCGCTGCCGGGCCAGCCACTTCTCCTCCTCGTTGGTGCGGTGGATCAGCAGCGCCGTGGCCGCGCTGCTCCCGGCCAGGGGGAACACGCTGTGGTTGGGGATGAGGCTGGGCACGGGGTGGTGGGAGCCCGGGGGCGGGTGCAGAGGGTGCTGGATGGGCTTCGGCGTGGGCAGCACCGAGTCCTTGAGTTTGTCTGCGGTGGAAGAGGGGTGATGGAGAGTCAGGGTGTGGAAGAGTGGGGGGTATTTTGGGGTGAGCATCCCTGTGGGTGGGAGGGACCCGGAGCTGTGGGGCAGCCACCGTCAGAGCTCAGCTCAGGGGGCTGCCCGCTCGCTGCCAGCCCAGCTGCCCGGCGTGCACCGGGCACGGCGCCAGCCCGGCCCGAGTCAGATGGCACAGGCACCGCGCCGACGCTCTGAGATGCTGCAGCTGGGCTCCTGGCAAAGCAATCTGGCAGCCAGGACAGCCCATCCCCGTCCCCAGCCGCCTCCCGGGGCCACCGACCCCCTCGGCTCTGCCATCTGCACGGAGGGGAGAGGGGACCAAGGCAAGCTGAGGAAGGCGGGCGGTACCTGCTCTGCTGGGTGCCAGCGGCTCCACTGGCTTGCCCCGCTCCTCGGCCGGGTGCCCCCGCAGCCCGTGCAGCTCCGCCACGGGGAGGAAGGGCCCCTCCATGGCTTTCACCATGCTCAGCTCCTTCTCCCGGGCACGCTCCCGCTGCCTCTCCAGCTCCCGCTCCCGCTCCTTCTCCCGCTCGCGCTCCAGCTCCTTCTCGCGCTCCCGCTCCCGCTCGCGCTCCTTCTCCCGCTCCCGGTCGGCTTCTCGCTCCCGCTCCTTCTCCCGCTCCCGCTCCCTCTGCCGCAGCTCCTCGTCCATCTGCAGCCTGCAGAGAAAAACCAAAACCAAAAGCACCGACCCCAAACATCCCCCTTGGAGCACCCCTAAAATCAACCCTGGATGCCTGTCAGCATCCCCTGGAACACCCTTGAACCTCCAGAGAACCCCCAAACAGCTCCTGGGCACCTGCCAGCACCCTCCGTGCACTCCCAAATCCCCAGTCACCTGCCAGCATTCCTAGAGCATCCCAAAAGCACCCCTGGTGCTCTGCCAGCATCCTCTGGAGCGCCCCATCCATGCCCCCACCACCCCGTACCTCTCGGCGGCGAGGCTGGAGATGCGCTCGGACTGCAGGGCGGACAGGGAGGAGTGGGAGAGCTCGGGGGGGTACCGGACCCCCGAGAGGTGCAGGTGCATGGCCGAGGGGTGCAGGGGGGGCAGCGAGCCCGGCGCTGGCAGCGGGTAGAAGGGGGACCTCAGTGCCGACAGGCAGTACGACTCATCCATCCTGGGGAGACAGGGATGCTCAGACGGGCAAATAACTCCCAGTTCCCCTCCCAGGAGTCAGATGTGGGGGGTGCCTTCTACTGGGAGAAAGGGATGGAGAGCCCCAGAACGCCCTCAGTGGGTCATGCTCCCACCTCCCAGTGCCTCAAAGCTCATCCAGCGGTACCTCCCAGGGATCCCGAGGCTCGGAGGTGCCCACCTGAAGGCAGGATGAGGGAAGGGGTGATGTGTCAGGTAGCTGGGGTGGTAGTAGGCGGCGGCGGTGGCCGGGTCGAGGCCGAGGGGCGGCAGGGAGGACATGCGGAGATCCTCGGCCGTGTGGTAGGGACGGAAGCTCCGCAGGTAATCCTCGGTCACCGCGCTGGGAGGCACCACGTGGTGGACCGGCCGCTGCAGGCTGGGGGGCAAGGAGATGGTCACCATCCCTCCCTGTCCCCCTGGGGGGGGGTGTCACCTCCCCCAGGTGGGACCAGAGCTGGCGGGGGACGCCCTCATCCTGCGACCGCTCCCGTCCGCTGCGGGCAGACTCACTTGAGAGGAGGGAAGCGGGAGTCCTGGACCACGGAGCTGGGGGGCAGCCCGAAGGAGTAGGGTGTCCCCAAGAGGTGGGAGGGCACAGTGGGACCCCCTGCCTTCTCCTGCGCCAGGGGGGGCTCCGAGATGAGGCGCTCGCGGCCGGCGCTGCTGCTGCTGCCTCGTGACCCTGCTTCCTGCTGCAAGGCAAAGGGGCAGGGAAGCCAGGATGAGCATCAGGACACATGGGCAAGCCCTGCTGTGGCACCAGCCCAAGACCCTCAGTAGGTCCCCAGAGTGCCCTGGCTGGCAGCAGTTCCCAGGGAAGGATTCATCCAGCAGGGCATCTCCTGAATCCAGGGTTTGGGAAGGCAGCTGGAGGGGTGGGAGGGTCTGAGAGGCTGCAGTGGGGGGCCCCAGTGGGAATGGAGGTGTTGAAGGCAGGGCAGAGCTGAGGGCAAGACACCCATTACCTGCCTGGAGATTTGTGGCTGTTTTGTTCCCCTGAGCTATAAATCATCTGGGGAGGAGTGACACGGCCGGGGGAAATCCAGCCAGCCTTTGATAAGGGCCATAACCCAGGGGTCAGCCCACAATCCCCCTGGCACCCCCGGCATCAGCACCCTCCCACAGGGCCTCAGCCGCTTCCCATCAGCTCCCATCCCCGGTGTCAGCACCAAAGGTCACTCCCTCCAGCTGGGGAGGGACCTCTAGCAAGGGGGAACAACTTAGGGTGGACAAGACACCCCACAGGATCTGACAAATAATAGGGCGACCCCCGCAACAAGGCAAGTTTTGGTTTAAAAATTGTTATTTCTCATCGCACCTTCTCCATTTAGCAGCTCAGGAGGAGGAGGATGGTAGCACCCACAGCATCCCCTACCCCAGCATCCCTCCCCACCCTATCCCATCCCATCCCTCCAGGGCAGGGCCAGCCCCAAGGTCACCACAAAGGGCCGGTGGCCTGCACAGAGCTCACTGTGTGTGCCAGGCTCTGCTCTAATTACAATTACCTCCTGGCTCTGCCAGACATCGCCACGCTCCGTTAACCCCCACACTGGTGGGGGGACATGGGCTGGGGAGCACCCCGACACCCCAGGCACCCCTCCGAGCTCCCGGGGATCACGGTTCCATTTATTTTCCCCCCCTCTGGCCCCCGGCGTTTCTCATCCCCTAGCCTCGCCTCTCTTTGTGTTTAATTAGTCTTTCCAAGTGGCATAATCCCCCCGGGAATCTGCTTGTAGCATGCGGAGGAGAGGAGAACCACTAACGATGCTTCTTAATTAGCTGCTCTCCCCCCACCCCAACCCCTCCTCCTCCTTCCTTGCCCTCCCCTCCGGATGGGGATGATGATGGCAGCTCGGGGACACAGCAGGGAGAGGAAGGGACCAAACTGAGCAGCCCAGTGATCCCTTGGGAGCCACGCAGAGTATCCCACACTTTACAGTGAGCTCCTGGGCACTCTGTGCCCCCTTCCCTGGGACCCTGTGACTCTGATCAGATAACCCTGGACCCTCCTTCCTGCCCCAACGGGGTTGGGGGAGAGCCAGGGAAGCCCACCCTGTCCAAAGTCTGTACAGACCCCTGACATTTCCTGTTCCTCCTCTTTTGCCCCACTCTCCACATGGACACCACAGAATAAAGAGAGCTGAACCAACATATATTGGGGTAAGAGCCTCTTTTGGGAATCTTTGCCATCTCCTGATATTCCTCCCCTCACAGCCTGATATTCAGGGGGCTGTGTGAGGGGGGGAACGTCAGCACACCCTCCACCCTTCAGGGGGCAGCCCCCAAACGCAGCCCTACCTGTCTGCCCTCGCTCCTCCAGACCCCGTTGACCGTCTTGGTGGGGGCGATGGTGACGACGGGCGGCGTGCTGGGCACGCTGTGCCCCCCCGGGGGCACGAGGATGGGGCCCATGGGGCCACGCTTGGGCGTGCTGGCGGGGGAGCTGTGGTTGGTGGCCGGTGAGGACACCGGGGACGACTCGCTGCTCAGGGAGGAGCCTGGGATTCAATCAGAAATGGAAGGAGTTAGGAGAAGGGCAGTTAAGTGGATGGAAGCAGCCTCCCAAGGAGCTGGGGCCATTCCTGACAGGATGCCTCCCTGCAGGGAGCAGGGGTGGGGCACTGCCATGCGCTCAGGGTGTGCAGCATCCTGCCAGACCCTCAGACTGGTGAGGTCCCCCATGTCCCATCCCAGAAGTTCCCAGTGGTGCTAAAGGCTCCACCTGGCACGGCGGGATGGGGCAGCCTCTTGCTCCCTCCTAACAGGGACTGGCAGACCCCCAGTGCCACAGAACCCCCTGGCACAAGTGACACCAATGTGATGCCAGCCCCCACAAAGCAAACCCAGAGACTCCTTAATCCAGCTGCAGGAGCTGTCAGGGACAGGCTAGGGCCTCTGGAGACACTGGGATGAAGGAGTGACTCCCTGAAACCCTTGGGCAAAGCTTTGGTTTCATTTGCATAATACATCTGTACTTTAACTTATCCCCACCCCAGGGATGCTGGCTGTATTTCCAAAGGGAAAATAAAAACGGAGTGAAAGTGGAGGAGAGGAAAAGCAGAGAAATACAAATTCCACACTAGCAGGGGCACAGGGAGCCTGCTGTCAGCTGCACGGAGCACTTCCCATTCCTCAAACCCACATGGGCAGCCTGGGGGGCTCTGAAACCCCAAACTCTGCTCCCTCCATCCCACAGTGTGGGTCAGAGGGAGATTCCAGCAGGGAGCAGGAGTCCAAGAGTGAGGAGTGGGCTGTGGATGCAGGATGAGCAGTGAGCAGGGCACGGAGAGAGGCCTGAGTGTGCAGGGTGTCTCATCAGCTTCCCAGTGTGCAAGGCCACTTCCCTGATCCCCTGAGCGTGTCCTGTGGGCATGGCAGCCACTCCCAGAGTGTGCCAGCAGCTCCTCACCTGCACCCTGCTTTCCCAGAATGTGCCAGCAGCTCCTCACCTGCACCCTGCCTCATCCTTTTACCCACTCCCAGAATGTGCCAGCAGCTCCTCACCCTGCATCCTGCCTCATCCCCTTGCCCACTGCCGGAGCATGCCAGCAGCTCCTCACCCTGCTTAATCCCCTTTCCCACTCCCAGAATGTGCCAGCAGCTCCTCACCCTGCGCCCTGCACCATCCCCTTGCCCTCTCCGCAGGCCACACAACCCCAGGAGGGAGCTGGGAATGCCAGGGGAAGCAGGAGCATCCCCGGGCAGCGGGAGGGCTGCAGGGTGGGCAGGAAGCTGCAGAATGAGGCTCTGTGCCCCTGTGGCTCTGTGCCCCTGTGGCTCTGTGTCTGTGGCTCTGTGCCCCTGTGGCTCTGTGCCCCTGTGGCTCTGTGTTTCTGTGGCTCTGTGGCCCTTTGGCTCTGTGGCTCTGTGTTTCTGTGATTCTATGGCCCTGTGGCTCTGTGGCTCTGTGTCTCTGTGGCTCTATGTCTTTGTGGCTCTGTGTCTCTGTGCTCTGTGGCTCTCAGGCTCTGTGGCTCTGTGTGTCTGTGGCTCTGTGTTTCTGTAGCTCTGTGTCTCTGTGCTCTGTGGCTCTCAGGCTCTGTGGCTCTGTGTTTCTGTAGCTCTGTGTTTCTGTAGCTCTGTGTTTCTGTGTCTCTGTTTCTGTGGCCCTGTGGCTCTGTGGCCCTGTGTCTGTGTCTCTATGTCTATAGCTCTGTGCCCCTGTAGCTCTGTGTTTCTGTGGCTCTGTGTTTCTGTGGCCCTGTGGCTCTGTGTCTCTGTAGCTCTGTGTTTCTGTGGCTCTGGGTCTCTGTGGCTCTGTGCTCTGTGTCTCTGTGGCCCTGTGGCTCTGTGCTCTGTGTTTCTGTGGCTCTGTGGCTCTGTCTCTCTGTAGCTCTGTGTTTCTGTGGCTCTGTGTTTCTGTGGCTCTGTGGCCCTGTGGCTCTGTGCTCTGTGTTTCTGTGGCTCTGTGGCCCTGTGGCTCTGTGCTCTGTGTTTCTGTGTTTCTGTGTCTCTGTGGCCCTGTGTTTCTGTGTTTCTGTGGCCCTGTGGCTCTGTGCTCTGTGTTTCTGTGGCTCTGTGTCTCTGTGGCTCTGTGCTCTGTGTTTCTGTGGCTCTGTGTCTCTGTGGCCCTGTGTCTCTGTGGCTCTGTGTCCGTGGTTCTGTGTCTGTAGCTCTGTGTTTCTGTGGCTCTGTGTTTCTGTGGCTCTGGGTCTCTGTGTCTCTGTGTTTCTGTGGCTCTGTGGCTCTGTGCTCTGTGTTTCTGTGTTTCTGTGGCTCGGATGCTCAGCGGAGCAGAGGCCGAGCGGAGCATCCCGCTGCCGGCCGCCCTCCCTGATTAATTATTCCCGAGTCGCTCCGAATCGCTTTCATTTGAAGAGCAGCAAGGCTGGGGGAAGGAGAAAGGCTGTCCCCAACAAAGGAGGCCGATTTGACACCCACTGAAGTCTATCTTGTCAGCGCAAGGCCAACAACAATTAGCAGCCTAATCCCCTCTGAGCTGGGAAGCCATTACTCACCACGCGATAGCGTTAACAATCAATACCATCACAATGAGCCCGGCAATTAATGAAGCTAAAGTCTTACTTCAGAACCTTAATTCTCGCTGTGTGGCTTTAAACGGGAGGGTTTGTGATCGTTATAATTAACTGGTGGTATTCAGCCAGGAGTTAGTCAATGAAACTAATCTGGATTGGAGATGACAAGAGGCACAGTGTGATGGTGTCACCTTTGTTTTCTGACCTCCCGCTTCCCCGCTCGGCGATAGCAGATTAGCAGCCCGGGCTGACAGGCAAATGTAATTAACAGCTGAGACCCTGACGGAGAACTGGAAAAAAGAAGGGAAGGAGGGGTGGAATAAAACCCACCCTGCGGACAGCCCCGGGCAGGACAAGAGGCAGCAGCCCCCGGGCAGGCGGTGGCTTTGTGGGGTTTTGCTGGGAAGGGGTCAGGCAGGATGAGCCGTGGCAGTTTGGGATGCTGTGGAGCAGTAGGATATCCCTAGGGATGTGCCAGCACACCTGTGAGCCCATAAAGATGGAAAAACCCCAGTGATCCTGCATGAATCCGGCATCTGCCACAGCAGAGCATCTCCAGAGGTGGGAAGGGAAATGGAATGAGCATCTCTCGTTGTGGGAAGTGGGTGAGGGTTCCAGGGAAAAGCAATTTGTTTCCTGGTGCTAAAAACCACAGCAAGGAGAAAAACCGCTTTCCCAACAGACACCCAAACCCACACGGATCAAAAACCTCTGAGATAAGCCACTTGAGGCACCCAAATGGGCAAGGGAGGGGTTTTTGCAAACAAACTGTGCAGGTGTTAAGGGGAAATCCAAAGGGAATGTGGCTGCTTCTCTGCAGTGCCACAAAATCCATGCCCAGTCCTGCTGATGTCCCTTGGGATGGGCTGAGCAGCACAGGGAGGGCACAAGCTGTGGGGTGCGATGGGGAAAAAAAACCAAAATAATTCCCCAAACTCAATCAATCGCTGTGAAGGAAGCAGATGGGTTCCAGAGGAAGCAGCTGGCAAAAACCAGGAGCTTCCAGTGAGGATGAAGCATCACCAAGACCTGGTTCCCTCAGGGTTACAGGGACCTGGTATCCCCACACGTTTCCTTAGGAGCAGCTGATGCTTCAGGTCATGGCTGTGCCAGAGATTTTTGGGCTGCAAGGAGGGTCTTGTAGGTGGTGCTTGCAAAAGGGATTTTCCAAAAGGGGGTAGGGGAAAAGGATTGTGCCAAAGAGGCCTTTTAAAAAATGTCTTCCAAAAAGACTTTGCAGAAAACATCTTGCAAAGGGGTTGGGTGTCTTTTGCAGGGATCTAAGTGCCCAGGCCACAGGCAATGATCCAAGGGGAGCACCCACTGATGCAAACAGCAGGGATATAAAGACTATTTCATCCCAAATTAAAGACACCAGAAGTCTCTTGAAACACATCCCAGCCTGGGGACTGGCTGCCTTCTCATTTGGGCGTGGAAGCCCTGGCAAATCCCTGTGGCAGGGGGGACCTCAGGGTGCTCTAGAAGCAGCTCACACCCCACATCCAAAGACAGGAGGGATGTGGGCAACAAGGGCTGGGCACCCCTTGGGGCTGCTCAGTTGGGAAATTTGGCCTGGGAAGTAGAAAATTTGGGGAACCTCTGGAAAAAGCAGCGTGGTGGGAGGGAGCAGGGCTGGTCTCTGCCGTGCCGTGCTCTCCCAGGGTACAGTGAGCAATGCGGCACTCGGATTACTCCAGATGAACTGAATTCCCAAATTGAATTCCCAAACTGCCCCCTCGGGACACCAGCAGGTTGGTCTCTTCCACCAGGCAGCCACTGGCAGAACAAGAGGACACAGCCCCAGCTACGTCAGGGAAGGTTTAGGCTGGATATTAGGGAAAAAATTTTTCACTGAAAGAATAATAAAATACTGGAATTGTCTTCCTAGGGAGGTGGTGGAATCACCATCTCTGGATGTGTTTAAAAAAAGACTGGACTTGGCACTCGGTGCTATAGTCTGCTTGAGGTGTTAGGGTGTAGGTTGGACTTGATGGTCTTAGAGGTCTCCTCCAACCTCATTATTCTGTGATTCTGTGAAAATGCATTAGTTGGGGAAATGGCAGGAAAACACCGGCTGCAGCTCCTGGGAAAGGCACCAGGGTTTGTCACCGCCCCGTCCCCGTCCCCGTCCCCACCTCTGGGCTCCTCGGCTTGCTTGGCGAGCTTGCGGAGGGCGGCGGCGAAGCTGGAGGAAGGTGCTGCCTGGACGGACAAAGTGCTGCTGGCGGCGGGGCTGCCATTGGGGACGATGGAGCCGTTCAGGGGCGACGGGGTCAGGGGGCTGACGGTGGCGGTGGTGCGGGTGGCCGTGGAGAGCATTCCTAGGGACGGTGACTTCGGCTCATGGCTCATGCCTGCCGGCCAGAGAGAGCGGGTTAGACACGTGGAGACAGGATCCTCAGTCTCCCCCAGGAGTGGGACCGCCAGCTCCTTTCCTCTCGTTCACCACGCCACCCCAAAATGCACCCCGAGTTCAGGGAATGGGGGGGGAGTGCGTCCCAGCACTCCACATTGCCACTGAAGCCCAGGAGGATGGAGCAGGAGGGCTCAGCAGAGCTCTGCAGGAATGCACAGGGAGTTTTGGGGGGCTTCAGCATCCTGATGGAGGTGGTGGGGAGAGGCGCAGTCCCCCGACTCATGTGGTGCTGCCAAAACCCAAAGCACCACTGCTGCACCCCTTATTGCCACTATTGCACCCCAAATCCAGCCACTGCACACTCAAATCCCCACTACTGTACCCCTAAATCTGCAATATTGCATCCCTGGATTCCCGGTGCTGCCCCCCACTGCTGCATCCCTGGATAAACAATATTTCATCCCTGGATGTTCAGTACTGCACGCTCAAATCACCAATAACAGATCCTCAGAACTGCACCCTTAAATCCCCACCTCCGCACCCCCCAAATTCCCACTGCTGCATCCCTGGAGTAACAATATTTCATCCCAGGATCTTCAGTACTGCACCCTCAAATCACCAATAACACATCCCTGGATCCCCACAATTGCACCCTTAAATTCCCACCTCTGCACCCCCCAAATTCCCACTGCTGCATCCCTGGATTAACAATATTTCATCCCAGGATCTTCAGCAATGCACCCTCAAATCCCCAATAACACATCCCTGGATCCCCAGAACTGCACCCTTAAATCCCCACCATTGCACCCCCAAAACCCCAATACTGCATCCCTGGATCCCCAGCACCCACCCCCAGCTCCCCACACTGCCCCTTGAAACCCTCACGCCCCAAATCCCCACCACAGCACCGCGAAGTACCGAGGTCCTAAAGGGCACAGTGACCCCAAAATCGAGGCTCAGGTGCTGAGCAGGAGGGTGCAGCCCTCCCCGATCCCCCCCAGCTGTCACACCAATTGCTCCAGGGCTCTCCACCTCCCAAAAACAGCAACTGCTGATGTCAGGGCCCTTAAAATAGACTTCACCCAGCAGCTTCATTAACACCAGCCTAAAATTAGCCCGGCTCCCAGGTGGGCAGGAGGACTGGGGGGGGATTTTGGGGCAGCCCCCAACTCCCAGCAGGCCTGGAGGCAGCTGGAGGCATTGAACACCTGGAGCATCCACTGCAGAGGGTGGATGGAGCATCCCCCGAGCATCCCCTGGCAGCGGCTGGCCAGGGAGGAGCCGGGGGGGCACGGGGGGCACTCGGCGTTGATTAATCTTTGCCCCCCGGCCCCAGGAGAGGCGGCGGCGCGCTCCCCTCTGCCCTCATTATACAAGCATTTATTAACTCCGGTGCTCTCAGCCATTGACTGCCGCCTTGTCGACACGCTCGGCTCATGTAAATTCATTACCAGAACAGCTGGGAAGCCAAGCCAGCCACGCCAGCCTGGCCCCGGCACCCCCGGGCTCTGCTGGCACCCCTGGGCTCTGCTGGCACCCCCGGGCTCTGCTGGCACCCCCGGGCTTTGCTCCAGCCCCGGGTGAGGGCTCGGTGCACCGGGATGTGCCGGCAGCACCAGGCGCCCACGCACCATCCAAAGGGGACACGGCGCTCCAGGCACAGCCTGCAGCTCCTGAGCACTGCCCCACATCCCCCAGGCACTGCCCCACATTCCCTGGACACTGCCTGGCATCCCCTTGGCACAGCCCTGCATCCCCCAGGCGCTGCCCCACATCCACCACGCACAATCCTGCATCCCCTTGGTGCATCCCTAGGTGCTGCCTGGCATCCCCTTGGCACAACCCTGCATCCTCCCAGCACTGCCCCACATCCACCAGGCACAATCCTGCATCCCCAGACGCTGCCTGGCATCCCCTTGGCACAGCCCCGCATCCCCCAGGCACTGCCCCACATCCACCAGGCACAATCCTGCATCCCCTTGGCACAATCCTGCAACCCCAGGTGCTGCCCCACATCCACCAGGCACAATCCTGCA